CTTCATATGTTGGAACCAGCAATAACTAAGTATGCACTAAGATACAAGAATACCTTGAGCAGCAATCTGAAGAAAAAATATGTAGACTGCAAAGTATCCAAGGTACATAAAATTCAAGATACAGATGATGATCATCTGAGGCTTTTTGATAACTTAAGATCATTACTTTTATTCATGTTAAGTATCATATTTAACATGATAGACATTCTTATATAAATGACCCCAAAGAAATAAAGCCCAGTCTAGTTTATTAACTTCTGTATATACTAACACGACTGACTTGATTAAGTGTACATTGGCCAACTGCTAACCATTCATCAGTGTTTTGTTTATGTAATTTAATTTTATGCAAAGCAAACTTTCCATGCTCAATAAGCTGGCCCAGACAACCATATCCATTTATTGCTCCTATTGTTTGCTTTTAAACAATTATTTATGAATGAGCTGACTCTAAGCTTGCAATTTTTATCATGTAGAAGCAAAACTGCCAATTCTGCTACTCAATTTCACTTCTAAAACCTTATTTCTAAAATCACAGATAAGTAAATAAAGTAATTCTGGACTATCGATTCAGGTTGTGGCTAAGCTGGTCAAGACAAGGTTAAATCCCAGTTCATTTCTCTTTGTGTTTTTGTGGGTGTATTCTAATACTTTCGTGGTATAAATGAAATCTAAGATTATTTCTCCTTTGTAACTATGACAACTAAATTGGACATAGCTCAAAGAATACAAAGACAGGAAATATAGAAACAAGCAGGGATTTTGGAAGAAAATTTGGTTATTTATAACACATAACAATATTTTGTCCTTTTTTTTAACCACAGTGAAGTTCTTAGCAACCATGGGAGTTTTATGGTATTTTCGCAAAATAAAGAACATGATAAATATACCGTGCTGACCAATTTCTCTCCTGTTGTGAACATTTGCACCCTTTGCAAAGTGGCTGTCATTAGCTGACGTGCTAAGACAAACCCTGGTGCAGTAAAACTGTAATTTTAAATCGCATGTGTTCAGTTTTTTATATGCTAATATTTTATTTTCTAAAACTTGTTTTATTTTTCGTGTCTAATAAATTAAGAACAGACTGATCTGGAAAAGAAGTTAAGAATGTGGTATCCCTTTAAATCTCTCTGAGCATACTGATTAGACCTGTATTTCTCATTGTTACTTCATTTGTTAGGGTCATTTGTCATGTCACCTTATACCAGCATTTTGTTATGTTGATTTTCCCCAAATATTTGATGATCTTTAGCATTTCATTTATAATTATTAATGAAAGCTGTCATTCAAACAAGCTATAAAATATCTCTGAATAAATGTAACTTTATTGATGTACATGGAAATATATCTTTTCTGTATGATGTGATATGTTTTTCTTCCTTCCTTTTTTATTTTTACTTACCAGTAGGATTTAAAAATCAAAAACTCATATTTTGGGAAATCAGTCATTTAAATTTAAATGTAAAGAAATAAAACACTAGTGAGGGAGCTTCCGCTTCTAGGGATTTTCAGTCTAGTAAATAAAAACACGAGGGAGAATGAACAGTGCTTCAGTGACATGTGAAGTTGTATGAAATTACCTACGGGGCTGGCGCCACTGTGCAATAGGTTAATGCCTCGGTTCTGGCATCCCATAAGGGCGCTGGTTCTAGTCCCGGCTGCTCCTCTTCTGATCCAGCTCTCTGTTATGGCCTGGCAAAGCAGTAGAAGATGGCCCAAGTCCTTGGTCCCCTGCACCCACATGGGAGACCTGGAAGAAGCTCCTGGCTCCTGGCTTTGGATCTGGCTGTTGCAGCCAACTGGGGAGTGAACCAGCAGATGGAAGACTGACCTCTCTCTCTCTCTCTCTCTCTCTCTCTCTGCCTCTCCTCTCTCTGTGTAACTCTGACTTTCAAATAAATAAATAAATCTTAAAATAAAAGGACAATTATTCTAAGTAGACACTTGAGTCTGTAGAAGTTCTAAAGGCTGCTAGAAATGCTAAAAGCTTGGATATTTTTTCTCCTTTGTAGATTTCTTTAAAATATAATTGACTGCTTGAAGCACAAATTATATCATTTTGCTTTGGCTATATAACCTTATACAAAACTGAAAGGTATAAAAAATATTAGAAGGAATAGGAGGAGCAAATTCAAGATCCCACCCAACTGATATTATTGGGAAATGATATTTCAGGCTTTGAATGTACAGCATGATAAACCGAATGTGCATATTGAGAACTTTAAGGTACCCACTAAAATTAAGGCAAGGAGATGTAGCTGATAAACCATAAGAGGAGACAGGGTAGAATACGAAAAGATACTTAGTGAATTTTAACCAGACAAGAAAGAGTCCCAAAAAGAATAAACACTATAGAATAAATTGCAAATATGCATCAAGAGAGGAGACAAACACAGACATATAAACAAATGCATTTAAAACAAGATTTGGGGGCCAACATTGTGGCACAGCAGGTTAAGCCAACTCCTGTGATCCCAGCATCCCATATGAGTGCCGGATCAAGTACCAGCTGCTTTGCTTCCAATCCAATTCCCTGTTAATGCATCTAGGCAAGCAGCAGAACATGGCCCGACGGCTTTGGCTCCTGTCACCCACCTAGGAGACCCGAATGAGTTTCAGGCTCCCAGCTTAGGCCAAGCCCAGCCCTGACCACGGCGGCCGTTTGAGGAGTGAACCTGTGAATGGAAGATCTATCTCTTCCTCCCTGTGTTACTCCGCCGTTTAAATCAGTAAAACAAATACTTTTAAAATGATTTATGAACACTCAAATTAAGAGGTAGATGTGACTGGCATAGCAGGTTAAGCCAATCTCATTTGGGTGCAAGTTCATGTCCCGGCTACACCACTTTCAATCCAACTCCCTGCTAATGGCCTGGGAAAAGGAGCAGATTGTGGCACAAGTGTTTGGGCCCCTGCCTCCCACAGTGGAGACCTGGAAGAAGCTTCTGGCCTCTGCCTTCTGGCTTCTGCCTGCTCCAGCCCTGGCAGTTGCAGTCATTTGGGAAGTGAACCGGTGGATGGAGGACATTTCTCTTTCTTTATTCCTTGCTCTGTAACTCTGACTTTCAGATAAATAAATAAATCTTCAAACAAAAATAAGATGCAGATATTGTAATACAGCACATAAAGATGACTTAAATATTCTGGGCCAGCGCCGCGGCTCACTAGGCTAATCCTCTGTCTGCGGCGCTGGCACACCGGGTTCTAGCCCCAGTTGGGGCGCTGGATTCTGTCCCGGTTGCTCCTCTTCCAGGCCAGCTCTCTGCTGTGGCCAAGGAGTGCAGTGGAGGATGGCCCAAGTGCTTGGGCCCTGTACCCCATGGGAGACCTGGCTCCTGGCTTTGGATCAGCACGGTGCACTGGCCGCAGCACGCCAGCCGCGGCGGCCATTGGAGGGTGAACCAACGGCAAAAGAAGACCTTTCTCTCTGTCTCTCTCTCTCTTACTGTCCACTCTGCCTGTCAAAAAAAATGACTTAAATATTCTGGCTATAAGAAACATTTTTAAAAATATTTATTTATTTATTTTGAAGTCAGAGTTTCAGAGAGACAGAGACAAAGAGTGGTCTTCCATCCGCTATTTCACTCCCTATATGGCAACAACAGCCAGCACTAAGCAAGGCAAAATCCGGAGCCAGGAGCTTCATCCAGGTCTACAACACAGGTGCAGTGTCCTCAAGAGTTGGGCCATCCTCTGATACTTTCCCAGACCATTAGCAGAGAGCTGGATTGAAACTGGAGCAGCCAGGACATAAACTGGCATCCATATGGGATGCCATTGTTGCAGGCAATAACTTCACCTGCTGTGCCGTAATACCTGCCCCAATAAACATATTTTAAACCTACACAAACACATATCTTAAAAGTACAGGATAGAGGCCGGCGCCGTGGCTCAATAGGCTAATCCTCCACCTTGCGGCGCTGGCACACCGGGTTCTAGTCCCGGTAAGGGCGCCGGATTCTGTCCCGGTTGCCCCTCTTCCAGGCCAGCTCTCTGCTGTGGCCCGGGAGTGCAGTGGAGGATGGCCCAAGTGCTTGGGCCCTGCACCCCATGCGAGACCAGGAGAAGCACCTGGCTCTTGCCTTCGGATCAGCGCGGTGCGCCGGCCGTCGCAGCCATTGGAGGGTGAACCAACGGCAAAAGGAAGACCTTTCTCTGTCTCTCTCTCTCACTGTCCACTCTGCCTGTCAAAAAAAAAAAAAAAAACAAAAAACAAAACAAAAAAAAAAAAACCTCTATCTAGACTAAGCAATAAAAGGAGATAAGCAGAGGCCAGAGGGAGAGTGCATAAAGACAGAAAGAATCAGTAGCAACGACCTCCCTCCACAACATCCCCATAGCGCCTGCAAGAGCAAAGGGGTAATAAAGAGCATTGTGCTGAAATTTGCCAATAAAATCATCAATATTGATGACACTGGTAAAATCCTCAAATGACACAATGTATTACAGTTGACACCAGAAAAAAGAGACCATGGCTATAGCTATTAAAATGTGAACTAAAATCCCACAAGAAAAGTCTGAGCCCACATGCTTTTTTCTGTTAAATTCTAAGATTTAATGATAAACAATGCCAATCATACAAAAAGCCCATATCTGATATCTAAGCAGAAAAATACATGAAAAGTAAAATGTTCCAAGCAAGTATCGTTCATAAAGTTCTATATAAAATCCTTTAACAACACATTAACAAGTTGAATCCAGCACTATACAGAGATGATAATTCACTATGATTAAATTGGATGTATTTCAGGAATGCAAGATTAGTTTAACACTGCAAACCTCAATTGACATAATTCATTTCACTAACAGAGGAAAGAAAAAAAAATATTGTGAACTGCACGTATGCATAAAGTATTTGTTAAGAGAGACATCCATATTCTCAGAAAGAAAGTGTGTATAGAAATATTCCTGATCTGATAAATAACATGAATGCAAAATCTACAACTTTTTCCTTAGTGGTTAAAGAATAAATACCCCTCTGATACCAGAAATGGGCAAACCTGTGTTCTCCCGGCATTTAATTCGTTTTTGTCCATGATGCTTTAGATAGTGCCAATAAGTCAAGAAAAAAAACACAATACTGTAGGGAGAAAAAAAACAAAACAAAACAAAAAACCACAAATAAACATATTTGTAGACAACATCATTATGTGTCTAAAAATCCTCCAGGATCTACAAGCATGCCACTAGAGCTGGTCATTTAATTTATCAAGTTTTCAGAAGACAAGGTCCACATAGGAAATACACCAGCAGAGAGAAACTGAAAACGGAAACTGAAAGAGAAATGACATCACAATCCAGAATGTACAAGAAAAATCTATCATGCACTAGGGAGGCGACAACCAAACTAAAGATGGATAGCAAGAGGTCTTTGTCTTTCCAAACTGGCATGTGAAGACCCAAGAAGCCGTCATATCCTTCTTCCCCGCGGGAAAAGTGCTGAATGAACTGAAGAACATGTCTTCTTGGAGCCATCAGAGATCTGGGGCCAGGAAGCATGCTGCTGCCCGGAATCCCAGAGCCGCAGAGGGGCCGACACAGAGCACCAGGGAGTTCAGGAAGCAGCAGCGCCCAAGAGGCACCTGTGTCAGTGGGAACCATTAAATAGGCATTGGCAAACAGCTGGTGGCTCAGGAGAGAATAGCTTGAGAGTTATAAGGCCCAAGCGAGCCCAGTCTTAAGGGAGGCCTCAGCCTTGTGAGCATCATGTCCAGGGTCTCTGGTGCTTCTGTGCATAAGAGAGAAAGAGGAACCAGTTTGAAACACACCGAGACCTTTTCACTCCTATTTAAGCATTATGTATGTGTTTATTTATTTGAAAGTCAGAATTAGAGAGAAGGCGAGACAAAGAGAGAAACATCTTCCATCTCCCGGTTTACCCCCAAAATGGCCACGGTGGCCCAGGGCTGGGCCAGGCCAAAGCCAGGAGCCTGGAACAAATGGAGCAGCTGGGACGCAAACCGTTGCCCATATGGAAGGCTGGCATTGCAGACAGTGGCCCAACCCGCTACACCTCAACCCCAGCCCCTTTTTGTTCCTATTCATAAGCTGTACTGGAAAAGGAAACTATCAAGCAGAGCCTAACCAGCTGCTATTTTACCAAAGCCTTCTCTGACCTGGAGACAGAGAAATACCACACTCCCTCCTATTCAAGCCTTTCTGGGGGGAGCAGGGAGCTGTGTGACCCAGGCTCACAGAAAGACAGATGCAATCATAGGACCATGGAATGAGCTCCCTCTCCATTCATCTTACCACTCCTATATAACAACTGGGATTTGCACCTAAGAAATGCCAAGACTCAGGCCCTATTTAAGCAGTGCTTAAGAAAACCCAAAGGAAACAGCGACAAAAGAGCCCATGAGAGTATTTTAGGCATGGAAAGCCAAGACAGTCTGGCAAAAAACAAAACAAAACAAAACAACAACAACAACAACAACAACAACAACAAAAAACGAAATGAAAGATCTCTGTGAGTGAGATCCCAGTGGAAAGAACAGGCCATCAAAGAAGGAGGTGCCTTTCTCTGAAGGGAGAACTTCCACTTTGACTGTAACCTTGTCTAAATAAGATCGAAGTTGGCGAACTGAAAAGGCAACTCATGACTAGAGCCCAGGGAGATTACTGACGCCATAAAAAAGAGTGTAATTTGTTAAGTCAACAACAGGAGTCACTGCACACTTACTCCTCATGTAGGATCTCTGTCCTTAATGTGTTGTTCAATGTGAATTAATGCTATAACTAGTACTCAAACAGTATTTTACACTTTATGTTCTGTGTGGGTGCAAACTGTTGAAATCTGTACTTAATATATGCTAAATTGATCTTCTGTATATAAAGAAAATTGAAAATGAATCTTGATGTGAATGGAATGGGAGAGGGAGTGGGAGAGGAGAGGGTTGCGGGTGGGAGGGAAGTTATGGGGGGGAAAAGCCATTGTAATCCATAAGCTGTACTTTGGAAATTTATATTTATTAAATAAAAGTTAAAAAAAAAGAAAAAATTAGCTTCTGATAGCACAGCTACAGCAAACAGTAAACAGCCTGTTCCCTACCCAGATAAACATGGGACCACACACTTTAAAGGCTTATCTTTTTTTTTTTTTTTTTTTAATTTGAAGGCAGAAAGAGACAGGGATCTCCAATCTGTTGTTTCATCCCCAAATGCTTAGAGCGGCAGGGGTTGGGCCAGGTCAAAGTTAGGAGGACGGCACTCAACCCAGGTCTCCTCTGTGAGTGGCAGGGACACAACGACTTGAGCCGTCACCTGCTCTGTGGTAGCAGGAAGTTGGCATCATCAGGCACTCTTGATGCAGAGTTCTCAAGTGGCATCTTAACCATTGCTCCAAATGTCCGCTCTCAGGATCTGTCTTTGTAAAACATGAATTTATCCAGGCGAATGAATAAACAGAGGAGGTATCCCATACAATTGAATGCTACTTAGTAGCGGAAAGAAGCAAACTGCTCGGTACCCACAATATGGAAAAAGACCATAACATCGTGTTGAATGACATTAGTTAGGCGCAAGTGTACGTCTGGTATGTTTCGTTTATGTGAAATTTTAATCTGGAGTGACAGAAAGAAAATCAGAGGTTGCTTAGGGTCAGGGTAAAACAACTGCCGAAGGAAACATGACAGGAACTTACAGCTCCTCACTCTCATTGACGCTCACAAATGCTCCCTTACATTGTACTTTATGTAAATCATGCCTGCTCCCAATTATACCTCTGTAAAATTTACTCTAAAAATGCTAGTATGAATTTTTTGGGTGACTCGGGATTGATGAGGTAACTAACTCATTTGGAAAAAATTAAAAAAGAATATCTAGAAAAATTCTGCAATACAGGATAATTGAAAGCATGTCCCAAAACAATAAAAATTTTGCATATAAATATTCTATTACAATTAAATTATGCAGATATTAAACTCTGACAAAGCATTATCATAAATTATTGGGAAAAAGTGGACATTTATAATTAATGTGTGGACAACTGGCAGCCAAGGGGAAATAGGTGAGGGGACACTGACAATTTATGTTTCACTAGTATAAATTTACACACAAAATCTAAATGGGTCAAATGGAAAGATATTTGCATATTTAATATTGAAATGAACCATCATTACATATGAGGAGGGTTGAAGATTTCGTGAAGTAAAGCTAAGTTTGTTTTGATGCAAAGTTTTAAAGCCATGCGTTCAAAGGGTCTTCAAAAGTGCATAAAAAAGTTCTTGACCAGAAAGCTGCCTGAATTCCGGTCTCGGCTGCTGTGAATTGTGCTCAATAAACAGGTGGCTGCACCTGTCTCTGCAGCATGCCACTCTCATTCCCTTTGGTATACACTCAGCCCTGGGACCACTGGGTCATATAGTAGATCTATTTTTAATTCATTGAGTAACTCCCATACTGTTTGCTATATCTTTCATTTTTGCTAATGGTGTGTAAGAGTTCCCCTTTGTCCAAATCCTTGCCAGTGTTTATTTTTTGTCTTCTGAATTATAGTCATTCTAACTAGAGTGGGATGATAGGAGTGAAATCCTGCCCTTTGTGACAGCATGGATGTAGTTGGAGAACTTTATGTTCTCCAAAAATTTGACAGGCACAGCAAAGACGAGTGTATGTGCTCACCTATATTGAAGCTCAGAAAGTTGATTTCATGGAAGAGGAGGGTGGGGGTGGATGGAGGTCAAATAATGGATCGGGCGGAGCGGGTAAAGCTGCCAGCTGCAAAGCCGGCATTACATTTGGCCACTGGTTCGAGACCCAGCCACTCCAATTCCGATCCAGATACCTGCAGATGTTCCTAAAGAAGCAGCAGAAAATGCCCCAAGTCCTTGGGTCCCTGCACCCATGAATGAAACCAAAAGAAGCTCCTGGCTCCTGGCTTTGGACCGGCCCAGCTCCAGCCATTGCAGCCATTTGGGGAGTGAATCAGTGGATGAAAGATTCTCTCTCTCTCTCTCTCCACCTTTCAAATAAATAAATAAATAAATATTTTTAAAAATGGGTATCAAAATAAGTTAGGGGGAATAAGTTGTAGTGTTTTATGTCAAAGTGGGGTCATTATAATTCCCAATTTATTATGTATTTTATAAAGAATTAGAAAAGAGAACTTCAAAGGTTCACAACACAAAGAAAAGATAAATGTTTAAGGAGCTAGAAATGCTAATAACCCTGATTTGATCTTTGCATTGGTATAAAATCATCACACTGTGCCCCATAACTATCTAGTATGTACCAATTAAAAATAAAATTAAAAGGTGAAACAATAAAACTGCTAGAAGAATCCATGGGAAATAATTTCAAAATTGTCAAACTCATGTTTTAAACAGTGTAACTACACAGACTCAGAGATTTTTATTCACTTCACTGATAAATATCCAAAAGCTTGACAATGACTGTTACAGAGACTAGGATCAAATGAGCATTGTCATAGTCTTCTAGTATTTATTTAATTTTTGTAATATATAATTGCTGTGAAAAGAAAATTTTGTACAACCAAGGATTTCAATCGCATTGAATTGGGGCATAGAACCCATTACTTCTAATCTTGCTATTTTGTGTCTTCTTGTCTAAGCATGTATCTGAATTGTATGTCTATTTCCTTAAGATTATTTTCCCCCAAGGGTACAAATTTTCTTGCAAGTGTGTATGAAATTATGATTTGACAAATCAGTGGTATCCATATTATTAGGAGTCCATGTTTTACAATAACGCTATTACATCATTCTAAGGCTAAAGTATATTCTATTTCTTAGGAAGCAAGATTGAGAAGCTTCAACATAAATACATTCAGTAAGGGCCCTGTGTTATACAGCAGGTTGGGCCACAGTTTGCAATGCTGGCATCCTGCCTTAGAGCTCCAGTTCAAGACCAGGCTGCTCCGCTTCCAACCCTGCTCCCTGTTAATGCACCCGAGAAGGCAGAAAACGATGGCCCAAGTACTGGTGCCCCTCCCACCCATGTGGAAGACCCAGATGGAGTTCCCAGCACCTTGCTTTTGTCTGGTCCAGGTCTGGCCATAAACAGCAATTTAGGAGACAACCACTGGATGGAAGATCTCTGTCTCTCTCTCTCTCTCTCTCACCCTCTGTCACTCTGCCTTTACGATAATAAAGGTAACTTGAGTATTCCCAAAATTAAATGTTATGCTTTACTTGCTAATTTAACTAAAACATAACTCCACCGTCATAACACAAATGTGTTTGAGTTAAATTTGAAACATTTTCTTAGATTATAGAATAGAAAATAAGGCAAGTTAATGTGTAACATGCCTGGTCACCCAGGGATCAAGAGAGCGAAATTGGGGGAGGTTTTTAAATAAGCTGTAAGCTTAGAGCAATTCAGAGCTATTAAATAGCAGCATGCATTATTAAGTATTTATAAAAACTGGTGACAAAGCCTTATCTGAATATATCAAAAATTACATTTCACGTGGAAATGATAATATCTCAGTCTTCATCTTCATCTTGATTCTGACTGAACTTTTTTCAAGTTAGTCTTCCGTCCTGGCCTAAAATAAATCTGACTAACTTGTTAGAAGATTAAGAAACTGTTCAGGCGGGGGGGGAGGGCTAACCTGCAGCACCAACCCCCCCACATGGGCGTGGGGTGGTAGTGTTTGGCTGCTCCTCTTTCCGTTTCAGCTATCTGCTGTGGCCTGGGAAAGCAGTAGAAGATGGCCCAAATCCTGGGCACCTGCACCTGCATGGGAGACCTGGAAGAAGCTCCTGGCATTGGATCGGCCCAGCTCTGGCAGTTGCAGCCATCTGGGGAGTGAACCAGCAGATGGAAGATTTCTCTCTCTCTCTCTCTGTCTCTCTCTCTTTCTTTCTCTGTCTCTCCTTCTCTCTCTATTTATCTCTGACTTTCAAATAAATAAAAAATAAATCTTTTGGGCCATCAAAGAAGGAGTATGAAAGGAGGAGAGAACTTCCACTTTGACTATGACCTTGTCTAAATAAGATCGGAGTTGGTGAACTCAAGAGGCTTCCATAGCCTTGGAAGCTCATGACAAGAGCCTTGGGTGATTACTGACATCATAAATAAGAATGTAAATTGTTAAATCAACAACAGGGTTGCTGTGCGCCTGCTCCACATGTAGGACTCTGTCCTTAATGTGTTGTACTATGCGACTTAACAGTAAAACTACTACTCAAACAGTGCTCTATACTTTGTGTGTCTGTGTGGATGCAATCTGTTGAAATCTTTACTTAGTATATACTAAGTTGATCTTCTGTATATAAAGATAATTGAAAATGAATCTTGATGAAGAATGGGATGGGAGAGGGAGTGGGAAATGGAATGGTTGCAGGTGGAAGGGAGGTTACGGGGGGAAAAGCTGCTATAATTCAAAGGCTGTACTTTGGAAATTTATATTTATTAAATAAAAGTTGAAAAAAAAAAGAAATTGTTCAGAACAGAGGGAATGCTTCCGGGAATGAACACATACACACAAAGGCACTTGGAACTTCAAAAAGTTCATGGCAATGGAATTAAATGATGTTTATCTTGGATGCAAAAAGAGTTGAAATACAAGCAGATTTTTCCATCGTGTGTATCTCCATGAATTTTATAAGATCCCACACAGGCACAGATTTCAGAATGCTTTCTACTTGGATGTAGAAGCTCTAAATTGTCTCTTCACAGGTAAGGACCTGGGGGTTGGGGCAGCAGGGCTCAGTCCAAGTGATTTTTGCTTTGTTTTTGTTTTGCAGAGGGCCTGGTTCTGGTATTTAGTTTGCTCGCTCCCTTTCCCAGACAAGAGGCATCTCTCCAAGCCATGCCCCTTGGCACTGAAGGGGGTGGGGGGTGACAGGGAGTTGCTCTTTCCTTCTTCCTTCTTCACTAAACTTCTAAGATTTTAACATGATGAGGCACTGAGGTCTCTCTCCTGGCCTCTG